AACAACTGACTCAGTAGACTTGTCATTCTGTGTAAAGGAAAGCCATACAGTGTACATGTACATGTTTGTGCATGTATTTTGTGCATAAAATTTTTTTTGTGCATAATTTGTCCAATCAAAATTAGATTTCAAGTTTTTAAAGTTGCTCAAAAATCTAGCCCGAGACCATGTACTAGTACATGGCCTTTGGCCAAATTGTCAAAAATGGCTGCGAGAGAATTCTCCATTTTAATTTTTTTTCCTGATATATATACATTTTATTATGTTGTGTAGAAAGTTTGAGCCAATTGCAATCAAAATTGGCTTTTTAATAAATTTCTAAAGTTGCTACAAAATTTGATGAAGGTCCCTTTTTGGCCAAATTTTACCAAAAATTTCAAGGAAATAATTCTCAATTCTTATAATTTTTTTGATCAGATTCATTTACTTATGTTGTGTACATGTATTATGAATTTCAAAAGTTACTCCAAAAGGCGTGCACTATAGTGCAGTGCTTATAAGCTGACGAAGTGTGCTGTTTAGCTTATACTTAGCATGCTTTGTGGGAAACCCTGGTGACAATAATATTATGTTATTACTTACAACCAGTGCTAAGTTCAACAGCAGTCATCATCTCCTATACCAGTAACTTTCCCTTTTCCTGTTTCATGCAAAAACATATTAAAATAGCATTTTTAATTGTAATTACTTCAACATGGCATAATTGTATTTCTAATTAAGTCATTTTTACAAAAGGAGTGTAATTAAAAGTGTTATTATAATTAAGGTTTTGTTATTGACCCCTGCCTGGTGCCAATTTTTGCAAATTTGTAGAATTATCCTCTACTGAACTACATGTATGAAAAGCCAAGGCACATTTAAATTGGCAACAAAAATTTTACTGGCTATTTGCAAAAATTTTGGAGTATAGGAATTTCAAACTACAGTATACCGTATAACGGTTTTATTTCGAGGATAATAATTTTCGCGAATAGCCTGTATCTGGAGGTTCACGGAATTATTTTTTGCAAATTACCACTTTTCTCCCATCTTGTGCTGTATTAAATTGATTTTCAAGGAATTTAATTTCGCAAATCTTTAGAAATTTGCGAAATTTGTTATCCTTGTTTTTTATGCTCAAAATAAACCTGCTATACAGTACTACATGTAATTGTATTTTGTATGTAGTGTGAATCCCATTAATACTGGAGTTTATGTTATGTATTATATAACCAATAACTTTGCCTCATAGTAAGTTTAGATTATTACTAAAACAACTTGATGGGATGAAATTAAAACTTGCCAGAAACCCAACAGAAACCTCATCTATAATTGTAATATTACTGACTAATGATTGCATATCTGAATTGAGGAAGAATACCTACATGTACATGTACATTACATAGATTTACTAATTTGATACAAGGATCATCAATTAATATTAATTTTAATCTTTCTTTCAGATAAGAAACTTGGAGCTACATTACTTTTCTTTGGTTGTCGTAATTGTGCTCATGATTACTTGTATCAGGAGGAGCTGGAGGAGTATGAGAGTAAGGGAATACTCTCTGGACTCTATGTGGCCTTCTCACGAGAACAAGTAAATTCATATGACAGTATAATTAAACTTAATGTACCCCTTAATGTACCCCATTGGAACCCCACTATAATGTCCTCATTGGATTTGTTCAGATTCAATTTTGTAGGTTTGTGTCAAGTAGGGGTTTAGGACAAATGTCCTCATTATAAAGGTGTCCTTTCACATGTACAGTATCTTGTGGCTAGCACATGATATTATTACTATTATCT